AAACAAAATAAAAGAACTACGAACATAATTTAGAACCCTTGCATTTCATTCATAAATAATGCTTGTCTTCTTTTCATTTCCTTCATCGAATCTTTCAACATTAATACAGTCCCATCATTAGTTGTTATAATAAATGATCCATCTTCATCATCAAGCATATGAACAGCAGTGATTTTACTGTTTAATTTTCTACTTTCTACGAATTTAAGAATGTCACGTTTTTTTTCTTTAACGTTTTCAAGAACATAAATTGTACCGCTTTCTGCTGTAATAGCAAGAATAGTAGATCCAACAACATTGATTAGTTGTGTAACGTCAACATTATATCTTCCATAAGGTAAAGCAAATGCATCATCTATTCTTTTAGGTGATACGTCAATGATTTGATCATTCTTTTCTTCCATTTGAACAATCCATCCACCATAAGCAAAATAGTATGTCACTGTATTATCCCTTGGGAATGATAATAAAGAATTAATATTAAATAAAGGTTTTTTTTGTTCAGTAGATTGAACTTGTAATCCCATAACTTGAAGTAAGTTAAAATGAGAAGATTCCCAAACTGCAACAATTCCATCACAAGACACAGTAATTAACTTATTAGTATTAGTCATTTCAATAAGATCCACATCATCTATATGAGGTGAACTTCCTTCTTTTTCTAGCTTTTTAATAAATTTTGAAGAAGATGGTTGTTCAGAGTTAATTTGATACACATAAATATCATTTGTTCTACTGATAAATAATATTCCATCTTCAGTTAGAAGTGATGTTTTATAATAGTCATCAGATTCTCTTTCCATTATATATAGTGGGGTATTACTTGTAGTATTCCAGAATGCAATTTTTTTATCATTAGCAATAGTTATAATAATATCATTAAGAATATAAATTTTTTTAATAATACCATCATGACTTGTAAGTGTTCCTTCTTCGATTAAAAGTTCATTATCTTTTAATTGAATAAAATCACTTAAAGAAATTCTATAAATTTCTTTTTTAAATGCAATAACAATTATTCCATTAAAGAATTGAATATCTCCAATAGCTCCTTTTGAAACCATTCCATTTTCACAATCAATTTGATATTTCTCTTTAAGTTCACAAATATATTTTTCTGATAATTCTAAAACCTCTTTTTCATTTTCATTATTAACATTCTTAATACTGCTTTGTATTTCTGTAAATATATGTTTTATTTCTTCTATTTCTTTCTTTATTTTATTTTCTTCTTTATTTTCTTCTTCTCCTTGTTCTTCTTTGTTTTTATCTGAAGCATCATAATTATCAATAATAGTATTATCTTTGATTATAGGAGATTCACTAGTCATTCCTCCTTTCCCCTTAAATGAAACAATTCCATAACTCAATTTCTCTTTTAATATGCGTTCAATATTACTTTGTTTTTCCTCAATTAACTCTCTCAAAAATAATAAGAACTTTTTAACTCTAAGCATTCCAGTGGCTCGTGATTTCATGACAACTGACTTTATTTCAACACCAGTCATATAGTTAAATAAAATAATTCTTCCTGAATGATCACCAACTAGAAAATACTTCTCTTTATTGAATGAAAAATAACAAAATGAATCTACATTTCCTGAGTCATTTGTTCCTGGTTGTTGTTTATTTATTTCAGTTGAATCTCCATAAGTAATAAAACTATACTCATAGGAATAGTCACAAAGTGTCTTGGTTTCTTTCTTAAAGAACGACAACATTCTACCTTCCTTTTGAACTTTCTTTTAAAGATTATATTTAGTTTAGTTATAACTTATTTTATTATTTAAATATACTATATCTGTTGATTTTTTTTATTGGTGTTTATTAACTCTTCAAAGTTCATTCCATATGATTGCAACTCACATCCAACAACTTATCTAAATATAATTCAGTATAGTCTCTGTACCAATTTATTCTTTCTGTGTCCCCATAATATCATTAATGAAATTCATATTATCAAAACACTGAGACAGTAGAATGTCACTCACCAACTAAAGAAATAATATTGAGTAATGAAACAAATATCCACAACATAAAAATGCCATCCAGAATTGAAGAATATTTTAACTCCCGTAAGAATAATGGAAAATAATTCAGTGTTATGAGTAAGAAGAAAAACTTACATTTGATTAAATTACAACCAAAATAATACAAAATGGTTATTGTTCAAAACAGAAGAAACATATAACTGTTAGTTCAACACATATCTAAAAAAACATATATATTTGAAAAGAGTCAGTAAGGTACTTTCAATTGTAGTAACTATCAAAGAATATTATTTTCCATTCATTAAAGTAAATATTGTTTTTCACTTTAGGTTAAGAATATAATCTGATTAACAGTCATATTTTTATTCTTTCTAATTCTAAAATGTTATAAATTCATTGAAATAATTCTAACTATGATTAATTCGTATGAGTTTGTTATTGTTTGAATGGTAGAAAGTAATGTATATTTACAAAGGGAATATCAGTTGTACTTTCAACCAAGTTTAATAATACAACATGCTGAAAAAAAAATTTATCAAAAACTGACAATAGCTTAGCCATACTCTTTTAAAACAATGAAAAGTTGAAACATCTTGTAAATCCATTAATTAGTAAAATGTGTTTATTTGAAGTTATTTGAATTTATGACATATTTAAAGAAATTGTTTTTTTTTGTTATTCGTAGAGTAAAGTTATAAAGAAAAGGAGTTGTTGACTGTTCTTCACTTATTAAGAGACATAGAGTAGAATATGATGAGATTGTCTTTGGATTTACTCAAGAAAAAGAATAACGAGGAAATGAGTTTTGTATTAAGGGGAAAATGGTGACGTTATACCACGTTTTTAAAGATAATAAACTTAAAAATATTAAATTTGTATAAGCAATGTTAATTAACATTAAACTTCTTAATGGAAGAATTCTTTCTATTGACCTTGAACCAACAGATAAAATCTCTGACCTTAAAGCTAAATTAGAAGAAATTGAAGGTATTACTCCAGAACAACAACGACTTGTTTTTGGTGGAAGACAACTTGGAGATGATAAAACACTTCAAGAACTTAACATTCAACCAGGAACTCAAATTAATCTTCTTCTTGCTTTAAGAGGAGGTTTTTAATTAAATTATAGAATTTAATTGATTTGTTGTTGATCAACAGTTATTTAATGTTTTTATAGAAAGAATTAAATGTTATTGATGTTTCTTTTAATAAAGAAGAAAAATAATGTCTTATGATAATTTCATATGAAAAACTTAATATAAATAAAAACAATTTCATTTACTATATTAAATTCTTCATCCTTATCTTTTTCTAAGTTCAGTTTTTAATAATCTAATTTTATTCATTGTCTATAAATGCAAGTAGCTAAAGTCATTGCTATTATAATGACTTTATTCTTGCTTATTTTCATCATCCAATTATTCATGTATCCTACTGTTAATACATTAGAGTTCAAAACTCATGAAAATGGTCCAATTCCAACACATAAAGAAGAGGTACTAATTGACGAAGAGGAAGAAAGTTTTTGGGCTAAAGCAGAAGTCATTCCACAATCACACTCATCCAAACGATATTGTATTGCAATAGTTCCACCTGAAGGTGTGAAAGTTATTAGTACACCTTATCACCCAAATATTGATTTCATCACATCACAATACACTGCTGAGAACATTAAAGCAATGTGGCCAAGAAAAGGATTTTATCTTGGTAATTTTGATATTGA